CGGCTCCCCCCCCCCCCGTCAGTGCTGGTGCAATCCGTGTGCCCCTTGCACCATGGGCCCTTTATGTGAGTGTCACTTAGAAATCTGGCAGCTCTGCATATGATAAGCCAAATGTCTTGCAGGCCACACAAACCCACTGGGGCACATGCGGGCGCGGGCTGCCGTCCGCTGCTCTAACCACAGCTCTTTCTGTTCCTCCCCGCAGGAGGAGTTCCTGGGCTTCCCTCCTGACGAGCCTGTCTCCCAGAGTTCCCTGCGTGCCGCCCTGCGCTCCCAGAGAGGTGAGGGCACCGGTCCACCTGGCCCCTCCGTCGGCACTGGGGAGGTGTCTGCCATGGCCTCCCAAGTCCAAAGAGGCAAGGAGAGGCAGTGCCTCCCCTGGGTCTTAGTGCTCAACTTCCATCTTAGCCCGATTCTGACTGTTCCTGCAGGCTCCCCTAACAGGCTGTTGCAGACTGGTGACTCTTCTCCCCCCAGGTGGAGCTGTTAAACCCTTCCAGCTCGCCAGAGCTATTGGCATAACACTGAGCCTGTGACAGAGCCATTAAGTGGTAACGAAGCCATTTCACAGGCATGTGCCAACCCTGCTTTTACTGGCAAAACCAATTGTGTGTTACTGTGTCTACCGGACCTTAGTATAAGACGTGCTTTAAATATTTCATTAGTTTGTGGCTGAAGATTCTAAAAACTCCTTGCAGAGAGATTCAGATGCACAGCATTAGTTTGTGGCTGAAGATTCTAAAACCACGTCTCTAAAAACTCCTTGAAGAGAGATTCGGATGCACAATCTGAGTATTCAGCTTCAGTCTTAAACACTTGGCTCTTCAGAGATACAGATTTTTAATACATTCTTCAAAAGATCCCCCCTTATCTAAAATACACGTGTTAATTTTAATTTCTACAGTGCAAAAACTTGCTTCCAAAGTCTTCCTGTCCTTTCTGTTCTTCCTGACTCTCCTTTCTCACACACACCCTTGAGGAGAGCCCTTAAAGGGACACCATTCCTTGATCTTCTAGATGGCTGAACAAATGAGTCTCTTTTACTTCTTGACTATTTGAAGATCTAGTTTTCAGAGAACTCTCCACCAAAATCCTTTGTTAGGGTATGTATTTTAACATAAACTTATAGTGACCTATATAAAATATCCTTTTATGAGAAGCATACAAAAACCGAGTGTTTCTTGTCCCTAAAAGCAATGAACCTTGTTACGAACACACTAAAATTTAGCTACTGTTGCTGATTATGATGTGTGTGTTTCAGTTACTTTGAGCATGATAGTTTTAGATGTGCAATAAGAGAGAGGTTTAAAATTTAAAGTCAGCTTAGAAATACAGATGAAGCAAATGAAAAGCAGAAGGGCTGCACTAGGTGTCCCATAATATTTACTGTTGTACGTGCTGGACAGCTGATTTGCTCCCTCTACAAAGTTTTTGCAATTAAATCTCTGATTTCACTTCAGGGTATAGCCATAAACCTGAGCCGGGCATTTTTTATTCCCGAAGTTTGTGCTTTTAGTTAGGTATCTTCTGCGTGTCCAGCCATCACAGACTGGCAGGTGGTGGGAAACAGGCTGTTTTCTTTAGAAAGACATTTTGGAAGAGTGCTTTTCCCCAGGGGCAGATTACCGTTTTGCGGGGCCCCGGGCAGCATAATTTCGCGGGGCCCCCCTTTGCCACGGCGCATGCACGGGGCTTTTTGAAGCGCGGGGCCCGGGGCGGCCGCCCCGTTCGCCCTGCCCTATATCCGCCCCTGCTTTTCCCACATGTCCTTGGCTCCATTTGGGGTCCGGGATTTGGCTGGAAGGGATAAGCAGAGGAGGAGACAGTGGGGAGGGGCAGGATCTGGCCAGAGCATGGGGTGGGTCACAGTCTGTGACGCTGGCCTCCCCAAGCAGCAGCTTCACCCATTGCTCATGCCCCTATCACATCTCCTGTGCCCTGCTTCTCCATGGGGGCTGGCTCCCTTGCTCCGGCAGCCTCCTGTGGTGTCTCAGGGACCTGGCCTGGCTGTCTCCAGCTGCAACAGAGCTGCTGCCTGGATGTCACCTGCACCCTGCGGGGCTTGCTGGACACTGCCGTGGGCAGGGTTCTGGTCCAGTTACAGTGACTAACAGCTGGACGCTCAAGACAAGCTTCTCCCCCCACTCACTGGGCATGGTGGGGTGCCGGGCTGTGGCACCAGCCCTCAGCACTGTGCAGGGAGTGAAAGCCAAGCGGGGCAGCCCTGTGAGGACAAGCTGAGCTGCTACCTGCTGCTCTGGGGGGCTGGCGGGCATTAGCTTGGTGTTGCACCTCCACACTGACTTCCAGCTGGGCCTTGCCTTCACATCGCAGACCTGGGCCTGGCCTGAATACAGATCTACCTACTGTCCCAGGGTAACGCCAGTGGGGAACGGGGAATTACTGTGGTGTTCTCCTGTATTCCCAGGTCCCCCTTGGTTCTAGGTGCAGAATGCATGCGGCTGTGCACTGCCAGCAGACACAGGCTGCCAGCGGTGGGCGCTTAGCGCTCTGGGGTGGCTGCCCACCCACTCAGTTTACAGGGAGTGCTGGTCTGGCCTCTCCCTACAGAGCTCACTAGGGCGTGGACATGGCGGTGGATAAACTCCCTACGGCCGTGTCTCTCCTGCCCGAAGTGCAGCGAGGGCCCAGCCAGAGAGTACTGCATTCGCTTTGTACCCTGCCCCCTCAGCTCCCTGCTCTGCCTTCCCAGCCTGCTGGCAGCATGGGGGGGTGGGACAGGCGCAGTGGGGGTGGCTGGCAGAAGGGATGCTGGATGTGCTGGTGTTCTGTCCCTGACTGCCGATGCCACCCTGAGCTGGTGACTGCTTCCTGGACCTCCATTTACCCATCTGTGAAATGGAGAGAATCCACACCTGGCTGTTGAGACTGAGAGCTCCTTAGGCAGGTCCTGTCTGTGCGGCACCCACCAGGGAATCCACGCAGGTCAGGGCCTGTCTCTGGTTGTGTCTGGGCAGCGCTGGGCACAACAGGACCCTGATCCCAGCTGGGGCTGGGCCTGTCTCTGGCCTAGCATGCTGAGGGGACCCTGCTCTAATAGGTGTGTGTGTGGGGGGGGTCTGAGCAGTGCCTGGCACACTCTGTTGGGGGTGCCATGGTACACAGGGTTCCAGTCACTTGCAGGGCACGCTGCACCCCCCCATGAAGCCGGGCCTTAGTTGGGGTGGCAGCTGCTGGTGCCCCAGCAATGAGTTGCCATGGTAACCTCCCTTGCTCACTGGCTGGCGAAATGCGTGGTGGTGCTGCAGGTGGGGTCTTGAGTCACCCTCTTCCCTCTCTTGTTGCAGGCGCGTCTCCCCCAGCCAGCGGCAGGGGGAAGAGGGCTGTGGCCCCTCCCTTCCCCCCC